CCCCAAAACCCCAAAACCCCAAAACCCCTGGACTATTCTCAAATATTGAAGGAATGCATTGGTTAATTAATGATTGGAAGCTGAAAAATAATTCATACCTACATTAAATTGACACTTGATCATAAATATTTCTACTTATTGCAATTATATAATCTAAACTTGTTTAATATACAATATATTATCACTAAAGTAAATCATTAAGTACCTCAAAAATGCTTTATTACCAAATACTGATAAAAAGATGATTACATCCACTTTCTTCTAAAATATTTCTAACATTCTGTGCTTCAATACCACAATCCTTTATTTTGAGTGTAAATAAGGTTTTCATCAATCCTTGATAAGTAGTTAACCCTTCCATCAAATTTCTGAGCTGTTCAGGTTGGTTTTGCCAATCAGAATACTCTTCCATACCTCAACCAAAAAAATCTAGTGTCTTGATCTGAGAATCTTCCAATACTCGGCCAAAACTTATAGGTTGAGGAACTGAAATTTTGCAGAATGAGAGAACCACTGAATTTACATGGCTAAAAGAAATTAAAAATCTCTTAAACTGGCGATGATTAATTTTTAAACCTTGAATAGAGAACTTATCCAATACTCTTGGGCTATTTTTAATAATTTCAGCGAAATAAGAAGTCATTCTAGTAATTTTTCCTCCTCTTTTTCTTATGATCAGAGTGTCTACTTCCTCTGGGAACGAGTTAGACAAGAACTTTTTTAAATATGGTCTTCCTCTCCTAATGTCTTCTAATGAGAGAACACTGCAATTGAAGAACCTGAGAAAGGTTATTTTCTTAATATAATTTGAATCAAGATATCTCCCGAGGACTAAATGTCATCCGTATGGTATATATTCTATTTCAGAGTCACTTTCGGGCTTCTGAAATATTAATTCTTCTGAGAATCAATTAAAATAATGATTTCTAGCATACATTATACCAATCTTTCTGTTTTTAGGTGAAAGTACACTTCCTCTCCTATATAATTGAATTTCCCAATCAAGACTTTCCAAAAATCCCAAAATATCTCCAAAAAATTCACTTAAAGCTACCACCAAATCTAAAATCCTTCTAAAATCGCTTCTACATCATAAATTACCCTCCCTAATCCAAAACTCTCAAAATCTCTACTAAAAGCCCAAAGTCACTCCTCTGCTCGCCTAGCTTAAATCCTTATGCTTCTCCTCTTGTGCATACCTCGAGACATCCCTTGCTTGTACTGGTCAAACAGGGTTCGACATTTTATTATATTATTAATGTAGCATATTTTTCAAAGCTTAGATCCTAGATGGGGTTTTGGGGTTTTGGGGTTTTGGGGTTTTGGGG